GTATATTAAGAAGAGGCCATGAGAATCCTGAGATGTAAGCTCAAGAATGAATGGAGGCACAAGGAATGACTCATGCCCTTTCCTGTCTCCCCTTTTCTTTTGAATACAACTCTATAGAAAAAAATATCCATGCAGTAAGAGAGACCTGCAGAGAATCTTGCCTAGGAATGTGAAATGCACTAGGCTGCATCTAGCAGATCAGAACATTTAAAATATGCTTTGCAGATCCTGCAGTTGCTAGTTTCAGGTCCTCTTTTTAGCTGAATTTACATCTTGACTTTGAAGTATCTCTTCCCAGGTTTCAAAGAGTATTCAAGTACACTTGTGTTACCTCTTCCAGCAGGAAACCCACAGGTAGTCTCTCCTGCCACAATACAAACATATTAGCATAGCATTCAAGAATACTTATATATTTTTATATCTGATAAATGATACATGATTTTGAGCGTGTTCCAGTTCTCTTCTTTGATCCTGACCAAATACCTACATGCTCTTAGCAAAAGGCATTTCAGTACTACCTGTTTCATCCACAAATTCTAAATTCTCTGCACAACTCTACCAGTGAAACTCAGCTCAAATTAGCACAATTGCCATCAAGCTAAAGCTGATTAATGGCATAGAAAAAAACCCCAAAACCTTTGAGAGACCATCCGATTTTCATGGGTGCCTCAAAAAGCAACTAGCTTGCCTTGTTGAAATTCATACAGGGCAGCACCAATCATTCCTAAATAATGCTGATGCTAATTGTTTGTTGTTGTTTTATTTTAAAGACAAAACAAGCCTTAAGAAAATACTACTGGGAACAAGAAGAACAACAGACTGCACTAAACAAAAGTGCAGAAGTTTTGTTATATTAAACTTTAAGAAAGCCCTCAACATGCACTCAAAACACTAGGCTTACACCCACTAATCAATGCTTCAAATGCATAGACAAATGCTCCTAATGCACCTTTCCCTAAAAGACTTTCTGGATTCAAAATGTTTTCCTTAAGACAATAGAACACACCCTGTCTGTCATACGGCAAAGAGCATCTCTTAATCCCACCACACTCAAAGGAATTGTTGAAAATCTGGCCACAGAAAACATTAACTTCACCTTTAATACTTCTTTCCACACCCCATTTTGGAAGTTATAATTACATAGAAGAAAGTTGGCATTTTTCTCTCTTGCTATGTTAATGGTATTTTCTCTTTTGACTGTCTCAGACATTAAGATATTTGCAGTAGGAACTCTGTTTTCCATATTCATCACAGAAATTCAGGCCTAGCCAAACTTAGGACACCTGGCTGTTATCACAATATGACTACATAAATCACTGTTTTCCCTTTGATCTGCTGAAAGACTCACACATGAATTTGCTGGAGTACCATCCTCTGCATGCTTTATTTCCTCCACTAAGTTATGTGTGCCTGTAAGACATCACTGTGGCCTTGGCAGCTCAGACCTTAATCTGTCTCACCTGAAAGCATTCATTTTAAGTTTTCCCTTCTCTCAAATAAAAACAACAAAAAGAAGAAATACATTCCCAATACTTAAATTGAAATCTTATGAGATTTTGAAGATGTTATTAGCTAGAGCTGAACACAGCTTTGGGGAAAGTCCTGGAGTTTTCTAACATATTTCCAATGGCATCCAAGAGTTTGGGCAGGTTTTAGATGCTCATACTCTTTCTGATTTAACTGAGCCAAAACTGGAATAACCATCAAAGAAACACTGAGCAAGCAACCCAGAAGTGGACTATGAAAGCTTACCAGAATTTCCAGGAATATTTTGGTCTATAAATCCATCTGAAAATTGATTAAAAGGTGGATTTCTTCTCAAGAGAGTCTGATTTCTGACAAGGAATTCTTTCTGACAGTATTTTGAAACAAGGAACAAAGGTACCTGCTAGGCAATTTCTACCTGGTACTCTCCAGGAGACTGTTCTTATTTTTCTGAAAACCAGCTGTATTCTATCCAGATTTCAGAGTTTTCTTATAGCAACATAGAGAGAGTTTCTTATAGATGTAAATGGGATGTTCTGAAACTAATCTCTGTGTTTTTATTTCCAGAAAGACTTTCAAACTGAAATTTCATTTCAAGACAGCAGCACCTAAGTGCAATGGAAACTCAGACTGATGGTTTAGATCAGATTAATTTCTTAAATTTTTTCCTTCCATAAAACTTGGCAGCAGCTGTGAAATCTTTCTTAGGTGTATACCATGCCATACACAAAGGTTCTTACTCCAGACTAGAAACAAGTAAGCTTATCCTGATAGCAAGTGCACCCAGTAGCCAGTTCCCTGAATAACTGTAAAGACCTGATTTTTTTTTTTTTTAGTTTGTATACAGACTTGACTCTTTCAGCTAGAAAACTCTCTGCTGGAAGGCTTTAAGTAGCCCAAGGGAATTACTCTAATGTCCTTCTGTGAAGTTTACCTGCAGCTGCATAAATGTTTCTTCAGCTCTTCCTGTACCTGGGAGGGAATCTAGATCTGTTCATCACCAGACACAGAGGGATGGGAAATAATATGGAGCCATACACAGTCTTTCCAACACTGACAACCATTCATGGGTTCAAACGGGTCAACAAATGAGTACTGACTTGGAAATGAAGGTACAGATTGCTTTTTTTTTTCTTCAAACTTTCAACTCACCTAAATAAACCCAACACTAAAATACGGTAGTAGTTGTGACCTGGTCCACTTCGACTCCATTTCAGGGTTTGGAATTTCCAGTGGTTTAAAATGTAAGACTAACTCACAACTTACAATATGTTTGCTGCATTTGTTCAAAAATTTAGTTATTATTTTTAACTGATACTGAAATGTTAAAAGGTATGTTAAAAAAATTCTATTGCTATCCCTGAATAAGAGACTACCTTATTAGACTGTTATCACAGCCAGACAGAAACAAAGTAATCCACATGTTTGAATAATTTATTTTTTTTTAAAGCTACACTGGAGAAGAGGAGGTCTCTTCTCCCAGGCAACCAGCAGCAGGACAAGAGGGCACAGACACAAGCTCTGCCAGGGGAGGGTTAGGTTGGATATTGGGAAGAGATTTTTTACAGAGAGAGTGCTCAGGCATTGGAATGTGCTGCCCAGGGAGGTGGTGGATTCAACATCCCTGGAGGATTTCGAGCTGAGACTGGATGTGGCACTTAGTGCCATGGTCTAGTGACCACGGCAGGGTTGGACTTGATGATCTTGGAGGTCTTTTCCAACCTGGTTGATTCTGTGATTTTTTTTTTTTTAATTATATAACATTTATTTTTTCCTAGAAATGAGCAGAAGAACATGACTGAAATATAATTCATTGTTGAAAAAGCTGCTATACTTTTACCTTGCAGCTACTCTTTTTATGTACTCTAGTTGCTTATTAACTAAAATCTCAATCAGACCTCTCTCTGAATTAATTTAATGGAAATAACCTCAGTATTTACAGCTGAGCCTCAAGTGTATTACAGCTAATTTAGTTTTTCATTGTATTTTTTTTAAAAAAAGAGAGAAGAGTGCATTATTTGGAGGAAGAGTTATGATGGTGTTTCTGGGATGGTGGTGCCACTGAAACACAACATAACTATCACACTGAAGTACAGGTCTCATGAATTCTGGGAGCTGCTCTGCACATTCAGGTTACAGCAGAAAGTGCCTATGCAGCTGCTCCACACGGTGCAAGAAAAGCTCAGCACCTGTGGGGAGTGACTAATAATAAAACCTACCATTTTTGCTTCACTGTCATGTTTTTCATCCCAAAACCTTCCAGTCCATACTCCTATAAGACCAGAAGACAGTGCAATGCTGTGGTTTCTCCTCCAAGGAACAGGAGGTATGTGCTGTTTCTCCATCTACCTGTTTGTGAATTATAACTGAGCTACTGGGCAGAGCTCATTGTCAGGAAAAGTTGACAGAGCTGTGAAAATAGGACAGGCAGGACCTAGCTCTGACAAACATGACAGGAATTACTCAAGAGTCAGCAAAAAAATAATTACTTCCATGACTAAATGTCTAGGAAAGCTGCGTTTTCTTCACACCAAATGCTAGTGTCTGCTGGTGCCAGAATTTTATGGTGCTTTTCTGCCAACTTGCTGAAAATAATATGCCTTTTTGTTTCTGAATGTGGAAGATATGTTATGTGGCTGCATTTTATTCTCATGGGCAAAATACACACTTCTTACATTTCCAAGCCATTGTGGGCAGGTTGCCTGGCTTAGCCTGTGATAAATGGAAGGCTAAGTAGACACCTCCTCTCTTGTTTTCATTTTCTACTATTGCTTTCACCACCTTGGAAGGGGTAAAAATAATATCACCCAAGACAAGAAGAACAAGATTGAAGGGAAACACAGTTTAATTAACAACACAGACCTCATGCAAGTAAAGGGGAGTCCATTTTTACATCAACAGAATCTGATTTCAGGCCAATTTGGAAACCACAGCAGATAAACTGTTGCCTTAAACTGGGTGAGTCAAATTCTTCATTTTGTTTTAAAGAAAAAAAAATAATGTTGTATGGACTCAGCTTGGAGCCCATACAGCATTGAGATGAATCCAAATCCATGATGCATTAGCAAGCAAACGTCACCACAAATGTTATGAAGTCACTATTTCCAAAACATAAAAGCAGAAAAACAGATTGACAGGAATGAGATGGGCCAAGATAGGACTCTTTTCTTTTATTTCTTATTTTTCCTTTGAAGAATAATATGTAAAGCTCTCCAATTTGCAATCAAAATGCTTGTTTTCTATGTTGTTTTTTGGCATGACATTAACACTCTATAAAATGGAATTATTACAGGTTTTAAAGTAACTTAATTGGCTGAAATAATTCTGTGCATCTGTTTTTCATTTTCAATTTCATTCATATCAGTAGTGTGTTATTTTCACTTAGCCATACCTCTGGGATTCAACTTTTTGCTTCTATCTTTACAGTCCTGGTATAGTCATTTTATGGTAAAAGGGATGGGGTGGAGGAGAGGAACAAATAATAGGTGAAGCTGCAGCAAATGGCACAAGGATACAGTCCCTTCCTGGAAAGAGGATTTTGTGGCGAACCATTTCTCCCATAATGCATCCCACAGACCATATATCCACTAGAACAGCAGAGACAGGGAAGTGAAGAAGGAAGGAAAAAAAGCAAAGTTAACTACGACATTTCACTCCTAAAGGAGGGGAAAAAGAGCAGGTTGATCAGAACAGTACAGTTTGTTTTGTGGTTTTGTTGGGTTTCTTTTTCGTGTCTCACCAAAAGCTAAAATGAATAAATAAATACGTAAGTAAAAGCTGTGTCAGTCAGCTCAATGGTAGTTAGTAACAACAGTGGAAAAAGTTAAAAATCAACATTTTGGGTAAAGGTCCAGAGCTAGCAAGTAAAGATACAGTGACAACTGCACAGACTTGTGCTATACACTGAATTTATGGTGAAAAAACAACTCTTTTTTTTTTTTTCAGAAAAAAAATAACAAACCCAGATAATGATACTTTGGAATAAATCCTACTTGCAGTCAGGCAGTTTCTAGGCTTTGTCCTGCAGCACTGAGTCTCTCTGCAGCAGTACACAAGAGGTTCCAAGTGGAACTGCTCACATAGGTAAAAGCCATATGGATAATCCCACCCTTAAGGGTTATTTAAAACTCCTGCTTCAGTATCTGTGCCTACATCCTATCTATTGATATTGTCTAGGTATATCTGTCTGGACCTATGCACCCAATGGAAAGAACTGGAGAACATGACCTGAATGGACTCTGCTTTGTACTGCATATTCAAAATAATTGCTAAAACAAACTCTCTGCAGGACAAGTACCAATCAGACTAGGAGCATTTCTTCTATTCCCAATCCTGCCTTCAGTTTTTAGGTGCAATATGTATAGTTACAGTATCTGCTTCACTTGGGTAGGGGTTTCTTGCCCTTTAAGACTTACAGGAAAAAAAAAAGCTGGATAGATAGTGACAGAGTATGCACAGAAGAAACCCCTGTATTCCACGTGAAGAGGAAAAAACTGCATTCAAATGCTTTAAGACTATGTTGTTCCTTAGCTTTGAACCCTCATTTTGTGATCATGTTTGAGCTACACAATCCGTTTTCTCCTCTTTTTCTTCCCCCTTTTTCTCCTTCAAAAACAATCCAAAACAAACCAAGGAAACAAACAAACAACTCATTTCTTGGTAAAACAAAATAAAGGTGAAATGTTCCATTTGGGAAAAGGAGGGTACAGGTACCAGGGGCATGGGACAGCAAAAGCATGCCTGAGGCAGTGGCAGAGTTTTCTTCAGAGTGACAGTTTTGGGACCTTCCATAGAAGTGCAGCAAACTGGAGATAATTATGCATCTTTAGCCAACCAAGTGCAGAAAGAAAATGAAAGCAGTGAACAATCCTTATACAGGCAGTGTACATAGTAAGAGGGGAAAAAAAAGGTAGGGGAGCTTCAGTAATGTGGCAGCATAGGCCAGAGCAGGGAAGCAAAGAACAATCCTTTCTGTTGACTTCCTTGGGAACTGGTTCAGGGCCTCCAAGCAGAATTGGCTCCTATGACAGCTGCCCTTCATCTTCAAACATTTTGTTTTCTTACTCTGTTTACTTTATTTTGGCTCCATACAAGTAAGTCCAGACCATTCATCGTAAGCCAGATTCATTGCCCAGGGAAGTCAAAGGAAGTCTCTATGTTAACTTCAGTGAGTATTTGATCAGGACCTTTGGATGTGGCAAACATTCTTAGTACCTTCCCAGCTGTGTACTTCATCACAAAAGTGTGTCTAACTTTTTCTTGGTGCAGTTTTAATCATGTGAAAAGCAAATGCTTTCTCTGTCCTTTCAGGGACAATTACAACAACAGTGGTAATCATCTACTAAAAGTCTGGGGAGGGAAAAAAAAGGCAAAATAATTCATTTGACAATAGAAGGAACTCTGGAAATCGACTAAGGAACTATCTAAAGCCTGTTGAGTCTGGTTCAAATTTTTTATGTCACTTAACCAAAAACTTCAATACTTGAAGGAAGATTATTCCTCTTTCAGAAACTATTCTCTATGCTTATGTTCTGCTTAATAATTCTGTTCTTATTAGACTTTTGTATTAAAATGTATACTTTAAATTCATAAACTTTATAAATAATTCATACAGGGACTTGCTAATTTTCAAAGATTGTGTGATCATGCCTTCAGTAGTGCTTAAGTCATGGAATCAGCTCCCAAAATCAGTTTCACTGCTTTTTACAGAATACAGTTGGTGGTTACTGAAAGTTCTCCCACAGATTAGCTAAACTCTTCAACATAAATTAAGCAGGACACTTCTAATAAATTCCTGGTCTTGACATTTGCTGTATTTGCCATCAAAAAATCTCCTTGTCAAAGGGCCAAGTGGTAGCTTTTGACAGCAGAAGCTGAGCTGTAGCATATTCCCTCCTTTCCTGCCTGGTCTACCTGGCACACAGATGCAATTCTCAGTTTTGGTACAAAATGAGAATCACTTACAAAGTTTTTCCTTCATCCCCTGCAAAATGTGAGTTCTTCTTTACCTGCTTCTCTACAGCAAGCACCTCCACCTGATTTTCACAATCTTTCCAGGGACCAAGAACTCTCACAGACTATCCAGAGCAAAATCCTATTTACTTCTAGGGGGATTCCACACAAATTAGAAGCATTTTGGGTTGGGTTTTTTTTTTAACTCCAGCTTTTTCCTCTTCTCTGCAGCTCTACTTTTGATACCTAGATCTTGACCACATGAAATCTTTCATTAAACCTGGGACTTTAGTTAAATCTATCATCAAGAAGGAAATAATTCCTGAAATTCAGATCTAGCTCTGGATTTGGAGAAATTCTGGAAAGGCTAGGAATTGCTGTCTCAGCTTGTACCTCTTCTTCTTCCCTCAAACAATTCAGAGACCCAGGCTCAAATTCAGAACAATTCATTCATTGAGCAATTCCTGTGGTTCCCACACTGTTTCACAGCCACAGAAGCCAAAGACATTCTAGTCAGAAAGAACTAACTGTATTTGATAAGTTCAATCATAATTAAGAACAAGTTTCTCATTACTCTGTAATCCCACGCTGATAAATTCACCAGCATTGCATCCCAAGTACAATCTGTAGCTGCAGTACACAACTGTGAGAAACTGTGCTAATTCAAGATGTCATTTCCCACTGCATTTTCTCTTTGTCCTTTGGGTGTCCCTGATAACCACAGGAGGCAGACCTTGCACTGCAGGTCACACTGCTATGAAATTGCAGCCCTACCGTTCTCCTTGTAGCCCATTCCCAAGATGACCTCTGGTGCTCTGTAGTAACGTGTCACCACATAGGGAGTCATCATGAAGCTAGTGCCTGCAGTCCTGGCCAGTCCAAAATCCAAAATCTTCAACGTGCAGTCAGATTTTACTACTATATTACTTGGTTTTAAATCCTGCAAAAGATAGTGAAAAGACACATGACTGTCCTTTTCAAAGCCAAGCACAGCTGTAATACTGACTTTAGGTCACTGTTCAAAATTTCTTTTACTCTTCTGATACAGTTTCTATCAGAAGTACTTGTAAATACACAGCAAAACCTTGCTACAGTCTTTGCTACAGGATGTGGAACTGTTGGAGCAAGTCCAGAGGAGGCCACCAAATTGCTAAGAGCACTGGAGCATCTCCCCTATGGGACAGGCTGAGGGAGTTGAGGCTGTTCAGCCTGGAGAAGAGAAGGTTGTGTGGAGACCTCAGAGCACCTTCCAGGAGCTGAAGGGGCTCCAGGGAAGCTGCAGAGGGATCTGTGTTAGGAGCTGCAGGGACAGGACAAGGGGCAATGGGTCTTCATGATGATTTCATATGCCTTAAGTTTTAAACCAAAGTTCCCTTACCCTGTGAATGATTCCTGCAGAATGAAGATGTTTGATACCACAGAGCATTTGGTACAGTAGATAAGACATTCGCTCATGGTCTAGTTCCATCTGAATGACCTGGCACAGATTGGCATCCATTAACTCCATTACCAAGTATCTGAATGGAAAAACAAAGTCACAGGGTTATTTCTTGTGCTGAAGAAGAATCATAGCATCATCTGAAATTAGTAGTAATGCCTTTTCTTGCTTCAGAATTCACTGTATTTCTGATGACTGGGAACAACACAGCTGGAGACTGGGCCCACTCACCATGGTGGTGTTTGTATCTCACTGCAGACACACCTTCCTTTTAGTGTGCCAGCAAAACTGGTGGACTATTGGGCCTTTCTTGGTGCATTCTCCATGACAGAGACAATGGACATGGACAATCAGCACAATGCAGAAATGTGCAGAAAATAGAAGTGCCACAAGCACCAAATGACATAACTGCTTTGCCTTTGCCCATTGCAAGGAATGGCTAACACAGTACACGTGGGAATCTGAGAGAAATGGAGATGTCTGAGAGGCTAAAATATTCATCCCCATGCAAAATCCCTCCAAAAATCCTCCTAAGATTACATGACTTCACAAGATTCTCATTACAACTAATTGGTTACTGCTGATGTCAGACTACAGAACGGGAATACATTTCCATACAATGTATACAGAATATGGGAAAGGCAAAGATAAAAGGAGAATAACTATATAAACCGTAGAATATCTAAAGTTTCATCCACAGCAGGTTTGTATCATGGACAGTAGTGGCTGTGCACTAGGGCAAGGTGCCAACAGAGATGTTAGTTGTTTCCTACACTTAGCATTAGTTCCCTGGGCAAGTAATTTTACTCAGTCAAAGGTCATATCAAAGCAAATATGAAACCTGGTATTTGTCACCTTATAAGTGTCAAAAAATCTCTCACTATGGGAATGCAGAATATTTGTCTACCCACTAGACTCACACAATCGTTTTTAGAGGGACTTATAACCTTTGTATTTTGCTGAGTTTTTGCAGTCAAGATACACTATAATGCCCCACACGTTTCTTAAGCTTTAGCTTAATTACTGCCTCTGTTACTTACACATCCTGGAACTCCTCCAGAGATTTCTGTGGTGTGAAGACATTTAATAAACTGATAATCTGAAAAGCAAAGTAAGACAAAAGAATGAAGAGAAGAAGCAACATACATAATCCGTTGAACCCATTTTGAAGTGTGCTAAAGGCTAAACTTTTTTTCACTGCTCATTTTATATTAACACTTCTCTCTTTGTGGACCAGTAAAAATTTGGCAATGTGCAAAATAAATACACTGCAGTTCTCTAAGATTTCTTTCAAGTGCACTTGAAACAGCCTGAAAGAAGGATGACCAGTGACAAACCAAAGTGCTATGGGCGAGAAAGTCCTCTGAATTTTGAAGTTACAGGTTCAAAGACCAACTTCAGCTCAATCTAGCAGAGAAGTCCTTGTGCTACAGCCAGAGGTTTCTCAGTTATGAGGAATGCTAATCTAAGGGGACAAATAATCAAGGACCAGTTTATTAAGCAGTAGTCCTTCCTTCTCTCTGACGTGGCCTCAATTCCTCTGAGGGCACATACATGCACACACTGGCTGACACAAATTCCATCATCAGAGCTGCTGCTTTTTGGTAGAAACACTTGGAAACAGTAGACACATCCTGAGCAAAGTCATCTTGCATCCTGCAACTCCTTTTTTACACTGGTTTGGTTTTTTGTTTGATTGTAAATGGGCTGAGCTGTTGAAAGGCACTGTAAGAATGTGTGAAACAGCAGAGAGGAAAAATGTGACCTCATAGATCTGAATTTCCTGTGCTCTCCTTCTGTGCAGGTAACAGAGGTACATGATACCAGCACAGCTGCCATGAAGACAACATCTGAGTGTCTCACATCACCTCTGCAAGTTTTCTGACAGGAATGGTTCAATATTATTTCTCTTTACTCCACATATCCTGACTGAATCTTGCCTCTGTGCCTTTATAATCCTCTCCTTCCTTGGCACTTCTCTGTAGAGACAGATTTAAACTCTGACCCAACCAGAGTGATGCAGCCAGCAGCTCTCATGCAGCATTTTTAAAACCATATATTTAAAATTAATACCACTCCTGCTGCCCTCTGCTCTTTCCAGTCCATTGAAAACCTGAAGTGAGAATACATTATTCTTCTGCCTACAGGGAGAACTCCTTGCTCATCCCTACAATTTAAAATCCCTATGAATTGGTCTGGCTCAGGGTAATTTCCACCCAAGTCAATAGGGAAGGGACAGGTACAGTCCTGATCAACACAGTGGGAATGTAAGGATAAATCAATCAGAAGGGGCAGAGTGACAAGTCACTGTAGTGACAAGTCCTGCTATTTGCCATTTTTGGGTCAGTCCTTTTTCTTTCCATGTGGGTCTGCGACTAAGAACAAGTGTAAAATCTCACCTTACATCACATTTTCAAGCTCATTTATGCTTAGCATAAGGAGAAAAAAAATCATCACAAGGTCTGAAGCAAGGGTAAACATTGCAATCTGAAAAATTCACAGGAAGGGGCACACAGATATGGCACCAAGCCATATGAGAAATTGAGGAACTAGAGGAAAATTAAATCCTTGGGATATCCCCTGACAATGCAATATGGCAATTCTATTTTTTTTCACTACAAAAAAGCAAGTCTATACAGTGTCAGGCAGATAGTTCTAAGAGATAATCATTGCAATTAACATCCAGCCCTAGAATAACACTCTACTGCAGTGCAGGAATGTATACTAAATGTTATACAATAGGTTATACAATACGTAGTGGGTGCAAGAGCCAGGAAAGCCTAGAACCTGCTTGTGCTGTTTCTTCCAACAAGACCACCAGGATTAGAAGGAACAGCATAATGTGCTGAGGTTCCAGAGTCCCTGGCTCCACAACGTTAGCTTACTCTCAAATATGTGAGAATACAAAAGTGCTTTTGGTTCTTAATTTACAGCTTTGTAGCACCTTTCCCCACGATGACCCCTCACCTTGGGCAACCTATATAACCCATTTCTATGACTAGGTTTCAGATGAAGTCCACAGCAAGGAGTGATGCTTGGGTGGTGGGTGCTCCAGTGCAAGAGACATTGCTTTTGAGTCACAAACACCAGGGACAAGAGGATGGAGCAAACAACTTATGCATTTATTGGATAAGGAGCTGACATGAATGCATTCTGCTCTAGTCTTTAAAAGAGCACATGGAAGATCCTCTCATGTCCTAGCAAACCAATACATGCATCACTTCTCCAGTTACCTACTGAAAACTTACATTTTTATGATTCACACACTTCATGAGGACCAGCTCCCTGTAAGCTCTCTTGGCATGAGTTTGGTTCTGGAATGGTCTGCTGAGCTTCTTAATGGCCACGTTTCTGTCAAGGACGGCATCATATGCAGCACTGCAGCAATTACAAACACAGGGGATATGCAGCTTAGAGGGCATCCAGCATTTCTCCTGGAAAATTCCTGAGTCTCAAGTCTACCACTTCATTTTTTTTTTCCCCACTGAGAAAAACAATGGGATGAAAGAAGGAGTTTCTAGTAAGAAAAAATGAGACATCAAAAGGCAACATGTAGCACCACATCAGCAGAAGGCAGCATGCACCAATATTTCTGAACTCTAGTTTCATAGGAAATTAAAACTTATTTTCAAGAAGGAGTGTGGGGAAAAGTAACTTCAAATAAAAATACAATGAATACTGGATGAGAAAAAAATTGTTTCATAAAGCAATTCTCTGTGTATTGGGTACATCAGAGAGGCTTTTGCATTTTCTGCCATGACTAGGTACACCTTCACCAAGTGGCTCAATGAAGAATTTCCCACTTATCTAGATTGAAGTTTGTATTTTCCTTATGATGTTTCTAATGGAATCCAGTTATTTAATCATTCTTTGATACCATATAATACCAATAACATACCTAGAAACAGAACCATTTCACAATTACATTTTTTTAACACTTCCTCTAATGAAAAATATCATTACATATGCACAGGTACAAATTTTGAAAGCATGAAGAAATATAGGCTGTGTTTTGCCAAGTGAGCTTTTAAGCTGAGGTCCTAAAATTCTCCTTAAACTTTTCAATGCTTTGTACAACCTTCAGCTGTTTTTATAATCATTACCTCCTATGAATTTGAACCACCTATTTTGGTGGTTCAAATCTGACCACATAAATTTTGACTTCTAAATTCTACAAAGCGCAGTAAGTCTCAGAGACATTTCCAAATGGACAGTGTCCTCAGAACCCCTTCCTGATTTTTTCTTTTACCAAGAGCAAAGAAGGACATGCCACAAGTGTATTTCCCAAGAGATAAATCAACCATATCACTAGTTGTTCTAAAAATTACTTTTTTTGTAAGCATCAAATACTCAAAATCCTGCAAATTATTTTCCTTAGTAACTCTTAATTATTGCAGACATTCACTGACAGAGTCTTACTGACCAAGTGCAGAGCACAAAACATGCAAGCATCAGAAACTTAGGCAGAAAGCCAACAAAAATGGGCAAGTGTTCCAAATAAGTTAAAAAGTGTTGGTAATGTTTGTCTTGGAAACCACACAAGAAGAGAAGAATCAGAAACATTTCAGTTACACTACTTCCACATATATAATGCTCCAAATAAATCCCACAGGTGAGAATAGTTGCTTGCTAAGGTGATGAGGAGTTTTGCAAAGAATACTTTTAGGATTCTAGATAGCAAAGATGCTGCACTCACTATTTAAATCATATAAGAAGCAGCTTAGGCAATAAGGTTATCAAGGATCCTGTCTGACTCAATTGCACTCTGGCCACAGAATATCACTCAACTAAACTTGGTGTTAGGAGGAACACAGAGTGTGATTTACAGCCTAACAGGATGTTGCAAAGAGCAAACCTCCTGTAGCAGCTGTCAGCATTGCCTCTCATTCACGTTTAGTTCAGCCACAACAGGTCATCATAAAGGCCACAGGTAAAATATCCCTTAATTCCATTCAGAAAGTATTGAACAAATAAATGCAAAGCCAAAGAATGTAAAAAACCATGATCTTTCAACAGGTAAATATTTTTACTCTATTGTTCATGGATATATATTGCAAATATACTTAAGCAGACAAACCTCTAAGCTAATCCATAGTACTTGATCACTCAATTTCTTTTAAGTTGAAAAGCCTACATGAGACTCATCCAGCTAGGTAAGAATACTTTGAATCATTTTAATAATCTGTTCTCATGTTTTAATCTCATTAGTTACATCATAATATTACAGAGTAGGAGTTAGAAAACACCACAAGTTTGTCTGGGCAAACATTTCGTTCAGTTTCTCATCTCTGTTTGCTTTTCTGAATTTTCTCTCTGTCAAAGCAAGAGACAAAAGCATCATTCTAAAATCAGAAAACCAAAAGCTTCTTAAGCCTTTGGCTTTTATGATCAATTCCCAGTCCTTTACATACCATTCAGGAACTAAAGCAACCCTTTGTACAGGGATATTTATTTTGAGACACAAGGCTCTTGACTGCAGTTCTATCACTGCCTTCTATCAAATGGAAGGTCTCCAACTACTTGAAGTCAATACACAAATTCCTTGCACTGAGCAAATGAATAGCCCTGGTGTTTTTTTTTCTATTCACCAGAGAGAAGCTTTTTGTTTACAGACAGTCAACTATGCATTTTACTAAAAAGAAATTACAGATACCACATGTAGGTCCTCTCTCTGGTGCTTGCTACACAAAATCCTTACCTTGGAATGCCAAGGTTAGAATTGATGATAAGCCTTCTTAAGGTAAACGTCAATCACTGGCAGAAAAGTGGCTGTTTAAACAGGTGACTCAAGGGAACAGGAATAAGAGAGAGAATAATGAGTGTCTCTGAACTGGGATGAAAAGGCTGAGTGTGAAAGTCAACCTTAAGATCTCAAGTAAGAGACTGGACTTGTATCTCAAAACCTGTACTTCTTTCTCTGGAAACTATCACGACAACTTTTGCTCAACTATGAATTTATTTTGTTAATTTATACAGTTTCCTGGTTTTATAACAATGACTCTAAATCACCTCTGGTCTTGTAATAAAATGATAGCTTTACTGCAACATGAGGTCAGAAAAATCCTCAAAGTTTATTACCATGTCTCTGTGAGCTTTAC